CTGTTCTTCCATGTTTGTTTCATAAGTGTTATTCTTCCTTATCTTATCACTTTTATTATAAACTTGTCAAGTACAGGACCTATGCCTTGAACTTCTTTTGGACAATATTCTCCCATACTCTTAGCACAGGGGCAGGTACATTCTATGGAAGGGAATAAGCCATTGATAAAAAGGGATTTAACCTCACTTAATAAACTGTGGTTCCTAGAAGTGAATAGTGACCTTTGTTTATTTAATTTGGAACTCTAAAATAATACTATATACATATTTTAAAAATCATAATTTGTACAAAAGAATAAAGTAAAAACCTGTCCTTCTCCCACTTCCAGAGGCACATTTTCACCGTTAACAATTTCACATGTATCCTGCAGACTTTCTTTCCAAAGACAACAAATATATATATTTTTTTCTTTAGGTGATGTGCATGAAGTCATCATTCTGTAAGAGTCAGAGAGGTGTTCCCATAAGCGGCTACCACTCCTTTTCTCTGAAAATCCCAGTCATTTCTTCTCTGGAGGGCAAGCCGAAGATATACATGACTATGAATAGGCTGTTCACCTCTCCCTTGGGAGAAGGGGTGGAAAATCAGACAGTATAAAAATATTATTACTGCCTTGGGGCATGAAGGGAGGGCGTTAGCTGGGAGTTAGGTAAGCCTTCTGTCGGGGTTGAATGGGCAGGTTGTCTGAGCACCACTCAGTCCTGCTCTTTCCCATCAACCCTGTATGCCTCTGAATAAAGGTCTTCAGTGTCCTTTCCTCACCACAGGGTTGGGAATTAGGGAAGGTCTTCTGTCTCACCTCCTGTAGTCTTCAGAGCAGCCTGGATTCACATCTGCTGTTACCATCGTGGCCCCCAGTCTCATCACTGTATTTCCTACCTGGGCAGATCAAAGGAAGGGTGAGTGGGAGCCAGTGGGAGAATTCCTTCTCTTTTTACCTTTTTGATTGTACAGGGTCCTGGCAATGGACTGTGGACTCTGAATTAAACCTTAATTCAGTGTCAGTGAATAAGTGAAACTGAGCCAGACTCTTTTCTTTTAGTGGGCTTCAATTTCCTCATCTATTAAATGGAATTTACAACAATGACTAACCTTATAAAAAGAAAAGATAAGTTATCTCTTTCCGTGATTGTTCTATCTATATGGGACCAGGTTTCTTAAGAACAGAGGCCGTGTCTTACGAAGATCTGCATTTAATAAATGAATGAGAGGTATTGTCATCTCCAGATTATATTTAATGGACTAAACTTCTCCCGCAGGCCCTGATATTCAGTCACAGCAGCTCACGCAGTCATCAAGCACCTAGACAAAGAGGTGGACAAGTTATTTTCATGTTCCACCCTCTCCCTACTTCCTTACAAATATGGTTTCTAAGTGAAGTGGATTGTGGAAGTCACTGGAAGACCTACTCCATTAATTGTGACTTCCTCAACACATGCCCATGGTCAAAGAGGACTTATCCTCATTATCAGCCATCTCATAAAGAAATGATTCCCACTTCTTTAGAGACTTCCATTGTATCATAGTGAGGCTGGCAGAAGGTGTCACCTGTGTCATTGCTGACAGATAAGAGTATGAGTCAAAACAGAGGTTTTCATGAAGAGAAGGGATCCCAAAGCAAAGTCTGAGCCTGACTTAGAAAGAAACAGATATGATGGTTATTGCTGTGAAGTATGATTAAGAACAAAACCTTGGAGGAGTCCCTCTCTTCCTCTCCCTCCCACTCAAGACACTATAAATTCCTCTTCTCATCGATAAGCAGAATCTTACCATTGGTGATTCATCTAATTGGGCTGAGAATAGTTCCCACTTTGACACTGTCCTCATACTGCTCTTAAATCTTATCAAGTCTTAAAGAGTCCCTGTCCCAGCTGGCTCCCTTTGTCCCTTTGCCCCCTCTTGTTCACACATACAACCTACTTTCCTTTCCTTTTAAAGTTCCCACTATCAACCCTATCACTCAGGGCTGTCTCCACCCCTGGTTTGCAGACTGTCTGAAAAGTAGAGCACATTCTTGCCAGCTTCTCTCTTCACTGCAAACCCCCCTCTGTCTAGGTTGTTTGTTGCCAAACTCTGAAATGGGGAATAACAAAAATAACAAACATAGAGTAAATTTTTGAGAAATCTAGAAACCTTCCAAGGGCATCATTCTGGCCTACAGTACCTACATGTCTGAGTCCTTGGTGCTCCTGTACTCCTCATTTGTTTCCGGGGTTGAGAGACTGGTCACACCTTCACCTCTCTCAGTCTCTCCTCCCTCTCTCTGCAGTAGGGTTGAACACAGTATTTACTGAGTGTCCACCAGGTCCTGGGCTCTGTTCCTGGGAATGCAGTAGCAAATCTGTCCTTATTCTCATGGCTCTTATGGATAAAGGAATAAAAACAGGTACTAGACAGTCAAACTAACAAGTGAGCCCAATGATCAAAAAATGATGTGAAGGTGACAAATAGGGACTGCGATGAGAGGTGACAGGAGGGGGCTCTGAGGGTTGTCATTTGAATTGGAATCTGAAGGATGAGAGAGAATCAGTCCTGTAGAACAGTGGGGAAGGGCCAGAGAGAGGCAATGGCAAGTGTGGGGTGCTGTATTTGGATGAGCTGGGTGTATTTGAGGAGTAGAAAGGAGGCCAATGCGGCAGGAAAGTGCATAAGGGAGAGTGACACTGATGAGGCTGAGAAGTGGACAAGGACCAGAAAATGTAAAGTCTAGAAGTCTACAATAATGTGTTTATTTTGATAATAGATGCCAGGGGTTTTAAGCAGTAGAAAAACATGATCTGACAGGCATCTTTGAAAAATCACTGTGGCAGAGTGTGAAAAATGTTGGTGCTGGGTTACCTTTTCAAAAAGTGTGTACTGATAGGCCGGTTGGTATCATCTCATCTTTAATTGGTGATTTACAACTGAAAGGAGAGATGGCACTCACCTCTGCACAAGCAAGGTCTCCTGGGGAATTGGAGATGTAGCCAGACTCGCTCTTCAACTTGTGTGGGGAGTCCACTCTTTCTAGGACCAGGGACATAAGAAATAGGGGAGCAGGAGCTAGCATTGGGGCAGAAGAGGGCACTGGATGGCAGTGAAAGCTAGAGCAACCAGTGAGGACATGCAAACAATATTTTCAAGCTACCTGGATGTGGAGCTTGGACTTTCAGACCCTCTTTCATGACAATTCTGAGGTGGACTTTTTAACCTACCCCCTAAATCTCACTTTCTTCTACTAATAAGCCTTATGGTTTATTGAAGAGTACTCTCTAGATATCGCATCCCAAACCCAGGGAAGTTAAGTGTGATTGGGACAGAGTAAAATGTCCAAAATGTTTTTCGTGTCAATACTACAGACCCCAAGGGGAGCATGACTGAGTGTGACTAACAGAAGTCTGACTGAGAATGACCAGGCCAGTGTCTTGGTCAGACTGCTCTTCCCAACACTAGGCTCGAGGCAGTACTTGGTATACTGAGCGGCTCTTAAGATGCTCAGTCTACACAATTTGCTCGGAAATATTTCAAGAAGTGTCTGGGGAGGTGCCCCCCTCCCCACTGGCTCCTGCCATCTTTCCACAATGCTTTTGCCATTTCCAAGCAGAGAGGGGCTGGAAGGCTTCCAAAAGAAAGCTAAACAGGAAGCATATCATTTTCAAGGAGTCAACAGATCACTTTCAATCAGACTGCTTGACTCTGGTAACATTTCTAAGGCGATTCTCAAAGCAACACTCTCCCCAGTCAACAAAGGCTCTGCTGAGAGGATTTACTCCCACAGCCATACCTGGCAAAGCTACCCAGAAAACTAGTAAGTCTGCATCCCTTGGCTTAATTCCTCTCAGGATTCCAGAATCCAATTTTCAGCTACCAGCATGTTATTTCCTGGATCCCTCACCAATGTCTTACAGTCAATGGGTCCCAAACCAATTCATCATAGTCCCCTCTCCCAGCTTTCCTGTTTCTGTTGATGGCATCACTGTTCCCTTTGCTACCCTGGCTGCAAACAGCCGAGTGAGTCATCCTTGACTCATCCTTCTCTCTTATTCTCGATATCAAATCAACTGCTGAATCCTGTAGTATCTATTTCCATGATGTCACTTGAATCTGTCCCCTCCTTCCTATTGCCTATCCCTTCTCAGTGTGGGCTGTCATTACTTCCCTCTCAACGGGAGCATCTTAACTTATTCCCTCAGTATTAACACACCTTCACACTGCCGATGACTTAAGCCTCCTCAAACACAGATCCAATTGCATCGTGCTCTTGCCAGCAGCCTGACATGGCTCCTCACTCCTGCCACACTAAATATAAACCACCCCTCAGCTTTATAAGTCTCGATTCCTTTTCAATACTCTGTGTTCAAGCTAACCTTACTAATCACTGGCAGGACACATGACATTTTTCCTTTCTTGAATGTTCTTACTATTTAAATGATCTTGCAAAAAGAAGATGAGATCTTCTAAGTTCTGTATCACATGCATTTATATGCTTATGTCTGCTTAGAAGGTTTGACATTCCTGTGTTATTTGTCTCACATTTATTTTTGCTCCCTCTAGTATTTGGGCATTCGGATATACCAGGCATTGTTCTAAAAGCTTTACGTGTGAGAAATAATTTAACTCTCAATGATTCTGATTATATTCCTATTTTACCAATGGCAAAACTGTGATGCAGAGAAATCCAGTAACTCACTGAGGTTTCATAACGAAGAAGTGGCAGAGCCAGGAGCACATTCACATGGGTCTGGCCCCAGAGCCCACACTTCTAACCACTGAACCCACATTTATCTTTGTTACCTGTATTCCTGATATTATGGTTTGGATTTTGCTGATGTTTTATGATTGAATTGAAGCTTTAAGGCATGTATTCACTAACGGTCAGAAATATCAATGGTAGGCAGAGTGTGCAAATGTAACTTGATATCAGAAGCTGATTTTAGGTGCTTCCCATGAAGTCACTATGAGGCCAAGAGACTGCTTTGTGGTATTTTTGTTCTAAGTGTTCTTCTTTTTTTTATTCTAGTACATGGGCTGTATTGAAGTGCTGCAATCAATGAGGTCACTGGATTTTGGAATGAGAACCCAAGTTACAAGGTAAGAAGCCAAAAGTGGGAGGGACTTTGAGCTCTGTAGTTTAAAGCCACAATAGTTTCTCCCACAGGAATTTCATCCAAGTCTTCAGAGTCATGGGCTCTTTAATTCATATGACTGGAAGGTAAACTATATAGCCCACTAACCATGAATAAGTGCCTTTTTTTCTTTGTGTGGAAGATTTCTCAAGTATGTGGTAATACATCTGTGTTCCATATGAGGACTAATGAGATGGTGTAGTCTACAGAAATAGCTAGTTTCCCAGGTACCAAAAGTATTTAAAATTATGTCCTGTTTAAAATAGGACATTACAGAATCTTAGACCTGTCAAGGAGGTAGCTGAAAATAAGACCAGGCAAGAACTATCAAATGAGAAAGCCCAAACTCTCCTCATTTATGGAATCTCTGACATGAGACCTGCTTCCTCCCATCTGGGTCTTCCTCCTATGTACAGTGAGGTGGATGGAAGAATTGAACCAGGGAAGTTTTTTATCCAAGGTGGCCCCAGACAGCTTAGGGGAAGAAATCAGAATCCTTGTTACATGGAGCTCAAGTCGGAAGCAGAAATACAAGGCATGGTGTATGAAAGCCAAGTTCAAAGCAAGGATGAAAAGAAGAATAAGTGAGTGCTGACACTTGTAACCGGGAAAAATGTGAGGTGAGGGGGATGAGGCGAGAGGAGTGGGTTGCTATGAGTGATTCAGAAGACTTGGGCATTTGTTGTATGTGGTGCTAAGGTGTATCTCAGGGATGAGGCATAGTGGATTCGTGGTTGTCAGTCACCTGTTCTGAAGTTGAATGTTCTCACTGTGAAGAAAGAATAACTTTTCCTAACGCTGACCCCATGGGATTCTAGACCTAGAAAAAGTATCCCATGGTTCAAAAAGAATTTAGGGAAAGGAACCATATTTTGCTCTTTAGGAGAATAACATACACAATAGTATATTAAAGACTCTGCGAAGTCCTGTGTTGTAGTTTTAAAAATCCTAGCTTTATTTCAAGATTTTCTAAAAGTATTTGACCCCAGAAACCTTTTTTATATAACATAAATGAACATCTCATATATCCCTAGGGTTCCATACAATGTGCTTTAAGAAAAAAAAAAAGGTGGGGGGAGAGAAAAAAGAAAAAAAATGTACATATACGTGATGGAATATTACACAGCCAAAAAGAAAGACAAAATTATGAACTTCACAGCAACTTGGATGGACTTAGAGTCTATCATACTCAGGGATCTATCACAGAAACAAAGAGCAGAGTACCACATGTTTTCACTCATAAGCAGACCTTGAACAATTATCATAATACTATAAGAAAGGGATTGGCAGTAGTTGGAAACTGCCGGGAGGGGGATGGGGTTGGCAGTATTGGGAAACTGCTAGGGGGGCACACCTCATCGGCAAGAGTACCTGCGTAATGAACATTTGTATACCTAACCCTGAATTGTACCCTACATCTTTAAAATTTAAAATTAAAAAATGCTGATTTGGACTTTCCACTTTATGATATATTCAAATCTGTCATTCTAAACTTCTCTTCACCAATCCTCAGTATTCTCTCTGTAATCAAACAAATGAAATGTAATCCTGTTTTTATTTTTTGTACTCTTGGTACCTACCTTAGTCACTGTTACATAGCAGAGGTTCAGTGGATGTTTGCTGAATAAATGCATAATTCCACCTGACTACACTTCCAGTATTTGGAGACAGCTAGAACATTTCTTCTCTCTTTAAATCTTGCTTTTCAAGATGAGAAGAGGGGAGGGGGAGGGAGGAGAGGAGGAGAGGAGTTACACCAGGTTTAAATGCCAGCAGGACAAGCAGCAACTGGGTAGACAATGGTCATTTTCACAGAGATCATAGAAACCTCAAGACAGTACAAGAATACTGTTTGTGCACAAGGATTTCCTCATCTCCACTGCCATGAAGTGCAGTAAGACTCACCCACTCCTACAAAACCACACAACATTGAGGAAGAAAACAAGTAAGGGTGATTAAAAAAAAAAAAATCTTCCCTTTCCCATTCTTAACCCCTTCAATTATCCTTCAGACAACATGGTTCCAGACTACTTCCTATCCTGTTAGCCCTATTTTGGGTATATTGCAGGCTTTATTTAATTTTGATGATCCTTAATCTTGAGAAAAACACTTCCTTCAACCCTGAGTGAGCTGCAGAGGAGAAAAGGGCTGATGCTCCATGTGGGTACCTGTTCTGGAACAGAGAGCATAGGACAAAGGAAAGGCCATTCTCCTAACCTGAGTGTGACGGTCTGGATGTGTCCCCCAAAATTTACACATTGAAACTTAATTCCTAGTATAATAGTGTTAAGAGATGGCACCTTTAGAAAGTGATTAGTGGTATTAGTCACCTTATAAAGGAGGGATGAGGAAGTCGTTCACCACTTGTCCCATGTGAGAATGTCACAAGAAGTATCCAACTGTGAAGCAGAGTGAGCTTTCACCAACACCGAATCTCCTGGTGTCTTGATCCTGGACTTTCTAGCCTCGAGAACTATAAGACATAAATTTCTATTACTTACAAATGACCCAGTCTGAGGTATTTTGTGATAGCAGCAATAACGGACAAAGACACTGAGGATGATTGATTTTCTGTTCATTCACCCATTCATTTATTGACTCATTCTCTTTCATATTTCACTCACCTATTTATAAAGCGCTCAGTAAGTGCCTGAAAGGTATTCAAAAATTGGCCGGGCTCGGTGGCTCAGCCTGTAATCCCAGCGTTTTGGGAGGCCGAGGTGAGTGGATTGCCTGAGCCCAGGTTCGAGAACTGCCCGGGCAGCTTGGAGAGACCTCATCTCTACAATAAATCCAGGAAAAAAAAAAAAAATAGCTGGGCGTGGTAGCGCACGCCTGTGGTTCCGGCAACTTGGAAGCCTGAGGCGGAAGGATCACTGGAATCATAGGTCGAGGCTGCGGTGGCCGGGAACGTGCCACTGTACTCCAGTCTGGGTGACAGAGTGAGACTCCAACTCAAAAAAAAAAAAAAAGAAAGTACTCAAAAATTAACGATCTAGCAGTGAATAAGACAAAGTCTCTGCCCTCATGAAATTTACATTCTAGCTGGGGAAACAGACTTTGGGAAAGAAAGTATATAAACAATATAATTTCAGGTAGTAATAAGTGCTGTTTACTATAATAATAAAGCAGGGTAAAAAGGATAGAAGGGGTGGGCTTTTCAATTTTATTGTATTTTCTAGTTATAAAAATACTGCATGTTTACTTAGAACATATGGAAAATACAGAAAAATATGAAAGATAAAATTATGCATATTCTCACTTAGAGAGAATGTCTATTAACATTTTGTGTTTTCAGCCTTTTTTTCTATACATGAGTATATAATCTCTTTTACAGAAAAGTCTGAACAATATTATATACTATTTTCCATATTGAGAATTTTTTTGTTGCTAAATGTTCTATAGCATTTTTATTGTGGTAAAATTATATGACAAAATTGATCATTTTAGCCATTTTTAAATGTACTATTCAGTGACTTTACATACATTCACATTGTTGTGCAACCATCATCACTATCCATCTGCAGAACATTTTCATCTTCTCAAACTGGAACTTTGTACCCATTAAACAGTAGCTCCCCATTTCCTCTTCCTCCTCAGCCTCTTTTATATGTTCTAGGCTGCCTCTTACCAGCTTCCTGAACTACTTCCCCAGGACACATTGAGTTTGAAATGCTGTCTGGTAGCTACTTGGGTGTAGTAGCAAAACGGGGACCCCTGACCTAGAAGGGAGAAGGAGAAAACCCACAAAAAAAAGGTTAAATAAAAGATAAGAGAGAAGATATAATAGGTTCTTTCTCACTTTAAGGAGTTAGCAAAAGTCTAAATTTCCTGAATATAAAAATTATCATTGTAGAATTCACCTCTGGATTCCTTTAAACAATGAATTCTTCGCTGGCATTTCATACAAAGTTTGGTAGGAAAAAAATCATTTTCAAATTTTTTTCCAAGAGCTTACGTATTGCTGAACAAGAAGGTTATCTGTGAAACTTTTCTTTGAAACTCTATGTCTTGTGGGATATTTTACCAGTGGATATAAGCTTAAGTGTTCGAACATAGCAATAGATCTTCCCTCCTCATGTGTTAACTGGATGGGAGTATTTTGAGTGCAGGATTTTTAGGACTTCCACTCACCTTGACATTAGACACATTCAATAAAGTGTTACTGCCTCCGAGCAAATGCTTTTATTGTTGTTGTGTGACCAGGATAAGAAAGTGGTTCACTTCTAGTTCTCACCTGGTTTCCCAGATATTTGCTCTTCTTCTTTCTCTTTTAATTCTTCCACTTTCTCATTCTCCTTTCTTCTTTGGTGTATTTTTGATATTCAACCACTATTCAAATTGTTTTATTATCAGTTGTCTTGGATGTTATCATTAAAACATTCATGTTAAGTCGGCTTTCAAATTTTTTAAATTTAAAATTTCATATGGTCATACAGTTTCTTCATTTAGCCCATAGTCCTATTTATTCCAAGAAAAAAGTTTCAATGGACTAGGTAAGATTCCAAAAGAAAGAATGTTATTTTGTGTAATCACAGCTATCTCCACATATTTACCATCAAATATAATTCAGTTGTGAGTACTGGTAAATTAATGTAACAATTGCCACTGCATATCCAATTGGAGGTTGATGTCTCATCCATGGTAAACTCTTTGCCCTCTCCATATTCCAAATGATAGGAGGCAGCAACATGAAATTCCTAGTAATAAAGGAGGAGCCATGATTAAGATCCACTTGGATCAGCATTTGAAACAGAAGAGAAAGATGGAGAATTCTTATCTTTATGAGGAAACTTTCTGCCAACTGTTTCAGAGCTGAATCCACAGACCTAGAACACAAAAAGTACTCAAACAAGAGCTGAGAAAAAGAAAAGGATAAAGAGTCATTGACTTTCTCAGCAATTCCCTGGATTTCACCCCTTTCAAAGTTCTCATCACACTTCTCTAACTTGTCTCCAGATTTAG